GGGAGGACAGAGGGGGAGGACAGAGGGGGGAGGACAGAGGGGGAGGACAGAGGGGGGAGAACAGAGGGGGGAGGACAGAGGGGGGAGGACAGAGGGGGGAGGACAGAGACTGAGGACAGAGGGGGGAGGACAGAGGGGTGAGGACAGAGGGGGGAGGACAGAGGGGGAGGACAGAGGGGGGAGGACAGAGGGGGGAGGACAGAGGGGGAGGACAGAGGGGGGAGGACAGAGGGGGGAGGACAGAGGGGGAGGACAGAGGGGTGAGGACAGAGGGGGAGGACAGAGGGGGAGGACAGAGGGGTGAGGACAGAGGGGTGAGGACAGAGGGGTGAGGACAGAGGGGGAGGACAGAGGGGTGAGGACAGAGGGGGAGGACAGAGGGGTGAGGACAGAGGGGGAGGACAGAGGGGTGAGGACAGAGGGGGAGGACAGAGGGGTGAGGACAGAGACTGAGGACAGAGGGGTGAGGACAGAGACTGAGGACAGAGGGGTGAGGACAGAGACTGAGGACAGAGGGGTGAGGACAGAGGGGGAGGACAGAGGGGTGAGGACAGAGGGGTGAGGACAGAGGGGAGGACAGAGGGGAGGACAGAGGGGGAGGACAGAGGGGTGAGGACAGAGGGGGAGGACAGAGGGGTGAGGACAGAGGGGGGAGGACAGAGGGGTGAGGACAGAGACTGAGGACAGAGGGGTGAGGACAGAGACTGAGGACAGAGGGGTGAGGACAGAGACTGAGGACAGAGGGGTGAGGACAGAGGGGGAGGACAGAGGGGGAGGACAGAGGGGGAGGACAGAGGGGGAGGACAGAGGGGGAGGACAGAGGGGGAGGACAGAGGGGGAGGACAGAGGGGGAGGACAGAGGGGGGAGGACAGAGGGGGAGGACAGGGGGGAGGACAGAGGGGGAGGACAGAGGGGGGAGGACAGAGGGGGAGGACAGAGGGGGAGGACAGAGGGGGAGGACAGAGGGGGAGGACAGAGGGGGGAGGACAGAGGGGGAGGACAGAGGGGGGAGGACAGAGGGGGAGGACAGAGGGGGAGGACAGAGGGGGAGGACAGAGGGGGGAGGACAGAGGGGGAGGACAGAGGGGGGAGGACAGAGGGGAGGACAGAGGGGGAGGACAGAGGGGGGAGGACAGAGGGGGAGGACAGAGGGGGAGGACAGAGGGGGAGGACAGAGGGGGAGGACAGAGGGGTGAGGACAGAGGGGTGAGGACAGAGGGGGAGGACAGAGGGGTGAGGACAGAGGGGGAGGACAGAGGGGTGAGGACAGAGGGGTGAGGACAGAGACTGAGGACAGAGGGGGGAGGACAGAGACTGAGGACAGAGGGGTGAGGACAGAGGGGGAGGACAGAGGGGGAGGACAGAGGGGGGAGGACAGAGGGGTGAGGACAGAGGGGGGAGGACAGAGGGGGAGGACAGAGGGGGGAGGACAGAGGGGGAGGACAGAGGGGGGAGGACAGAGGGGGAGGACAGAGGGGGGAGGACAGAGGGGGGAGGACAGAGGGGGAGGACAGAGGGGTGAGGACAGAGGGGGAGGACAGAGGGGGAGGACAGAGGGGTGAGGACAGAGGGGTGAGGACAGAGGGGGAGGACAGAGGGGTGAGGACAGAGGGGGAGGACAGAGGGGGGAGGACAGAGGGGGAGGACAGAGGGGGAGGACAGAGGGGGAGAACAGAGGGGGGAGGACAGAGGGGGGAGGACAGAGACTGAGGACAGAGGGGGGAGGACAGAGGGGTGAGGACAGAGGGGGGAGGACAGAGGGGGAGGACAGAGGGGGGAGGACAGAGGGGGAGGACAGAGGGGGGAGGACAGAGGGGGAGGACAGAGGGGGGAGGACAGAGGGGGGAGGACAGAGGGGGAGGACAGAGGGGTGAGGACAGAGGGGGAGGACAGAGGGGGAGGACAGAGGGGTGAGGACAGAGGGGTGAGGACAGAGGGGTGAGGACAGAGGGGGAGGACAGAGGGGTGAGGACAGAGGGGGAGGACAGAGGGGTGAGGACAGAGGGGGGAGGACAGAGGGGTGAGGACAGAGACTGAGGACAGAGGGGTGAGGACAGAGACTGAGGACAGAGGGGTGAGGACAGAGACTGAGGACAGAGGGGTGAGGACAGAGGGGGAGGACAGAGGGGTGAGGACAGAGGGGTGAGGACAGAGGGGGAGGACAGAGGGGTGAGGACAGAGGGGTGAGGACAGAGGGGTGAGGACAGAGGGGTGAGGACAGAGGGGGAGGACAGAGGGGTGAGGACAGAGGGGGAGGACAGAGGGGTGAGGACAGAGGGGGGAGGACAGAGGGGTGAGGACAGAGACTGAGGACAGAGGGGTGAGGACAGAGACTGAGGACAGAGGGGTGAGGACAGAGACTGAGGACAGAGGGGTGAGGACAGAGGGGGAGGACAGAGGGGGAGGACAGAGGGGGGAGGACAGAGGGGGAGGACAGAGGGGGAGGACAGAGGGGGAGGACAGAGGGGTGAGGACAGAGGGGGAGGACAGAGGGGGGAGGACAGAGGGGGGAGGACAGAAGGGGAGGACAGAGGGGGGAGGACAGAGGGGGGAGGACAGAGGGGGAGGACAGAGGGGTGAGGACAGAGGGGGAGGACAGAGGGGTGAGGACAGAGGGGGAGGACAGAGGGGTGAGGACAGAGGGGGGAGGACAGAGGGGTGAGGACAGAGACTGAGGACAGAGGGGTGAGGACAGAGACTGAGGACAGAGGGGTGAGGACAGAGACTGAGGACAGAGGGGTGAGGACAGAGGGGGAGGACAGAGGGGGAGGACAGAGGGGGGAGGACAGAGGGGGAGGACAGAGGGGGAGGACAGAGGGGGAGGACAGAGGGGTGAGGACAGAGGGGGAGGACAGAGGGGGGAGGACAGAGGGGGGAGGACAGAAGGGGAGGACAGAGGGGGGAGGACAGAGGGGGGAGGACAGAGGGGGAGGACAGAGGGGGAGGACAGAGGGGGGAGGACAGAGGGGGAGGACAGAGGGGGGAGGACAGAGGGGGAGGACAGAGGGGGCAGGACAGAGGGGGAGGACAGAGGGGGGAGGACAGAGGGGGAGGACAGAGGGGGGAGGACAGAGGGGGAGGACAGAGGGGGGAGGACAGAGGGGGGAGGACAGAGGGGGGAGGACAGAGGGGGGAGGACAGAGACTGAGGACAGAGGGGGAGGACAGAGGGGGGAGGACAGAGGGGGAGGACAGAGGGGGGAGGACAGAGGGGGAGGACAGAGGGGGGAGGACAGAGGGGGAGGACAGAGGGGGGAGGACAGAGGGGGAGGACAGAGGGGGAAGGACAGAGGGGGAGGACAGAGGGGGGAGGACAGAGACTGAGGACAGAGGGGGAGGACAGAGGGGGGAGGACAGAGGGGGAGGACAGAGGGGGAGGACAGAGGGGGGAGGACAGAGGGGGGAGGACAGAGGGGGGAGGACAGAGACTGAGGACAGAGGGGGAGGACAGAGGGGGGAGGACAGAGGGGGAGGACAGAGGGGGGAGGACAGAGGGGGAGGACAGAGGGGGGAGGACAGAGGGGGGAGGACAGAGACTGAGGACAGAGGGGGGAGGACAGAGGGGGGAGGACAGAGACTGAGGACAGAGGGGGGAGGACAGAGGGGGGAGGAGATGTAGCTGGGATCCAGGATGTGAAACACTGTGAGTCTGATTTATTGGATCAAAAATATCCACAAAGTTCACGGAGATTGTAACGTTATTATTGTGCTTTAAGTAAAGGATAACGTTTATTACACAGGTCATTATCGGAAAATAAGTACCGACAGGGCTTTCTTTTCTCTCGTTACAGGAGGAGCTGTATAATAAACGTCATGAACACAAACTGAAGCTGTTTAATAAACATCATGAACACAGACTGAAGCTGTTTAATAAACGTCATGAACACAGACTGAAGCTGTTTAATAAACATCATGAACACAGACTGAAGCTGTTTAATAAACATCATGAACACAGACTGAAGCTGTTTAATAAACATCATGAACACAGACTGAAGCTGTTTAATAAACGTCATGAACACTGACTGAAGCTGTTTAATAAACATCATGAACACAGACTGAAGCTGTTTAATAAACGTCATGAACACTGACTGAAGCTGTTTAATAAACGTCATGAACACTGACTGAAGCTGTTTAATAAACATCATGAACACAGACTGAAGCTGTTTAATAAACATCATGAACACTGACTGAAGCTGTTTAATAAACATCATGAACACAGACTGAAGCTGTTTAATAAACATCATGAACACAGACTGAAGCTGTTTAATAAACGTCATGAACACTGACTGAAGCTGTTTAATAAACATCATGAACACAGACTGAAGCTGTTTAATAAACATCATGAACACAGACTGAAGCTGTTTAATAAACGTCATGAACACAGACTGAAGCTGTTTAATAAACATCATGAACACAGACTGAAGCTGTTTAATAAACGTCATGAACACAGACTGAATCTGTTTAATAAACGTCATGAACACAGACTGAAGCTGTTTAATAAACATCATGAACACAGACTGAAGCTGTTTAATAAACATCATGAACACAGACTGAAGCTGTTTAATAAACGTCATGAACACAGACTGAAGCTGTTTAATAAACGTCATGAACACAGACTGAAGCTGTTTAATAAACGTCATGAACACAGACTGAAGCTGTTTAATAAACGTCATGAACACAGACTGAAGCTGTTTAATAAACATCATGAACACAGACTGAAGCTGTTTAATAAACATCATGAACACAGACTGAAGCTGTTTAATAAACATCATGAACACAGACTCTGTTTAATAAACACATGAACACAGACTGAAGCTGTTTAATAAACGTCATGAACACAGACTGAAGCTGTTTAATAAACGTCATGAACACAGACTGAAGCTGTTTAATAAACATCATGAACACAGACTGAAGCTGTTTAATAAACGTCATGAACACAGACTGAAGCTGTTTAATAAACGTCATGAACACAGACTGAAGCTGTTTAATAAACGTCATGAACACAGACTGAAGCTGTTTAATAAACGTCATGAACACAGACTGAAGCTGTTTAATAAACGTCATGAACACAGACTGAAGCTGTTTAATAAACGTCATGAACACAGACTGAGCTGTTTAATAAAGCTGAACACAGTGAAGCTGTTTAATAAACGTCATGAACACAGACTGAAGCTGTTTAATAAACGTCATGAACACAGACTGAAGCTGTTTAATAAACGTCATGAACACAGACTGAAGCTGTTTAATAAACGTCATGAACACAGACTGAAGCTGTTTAATAAACGTCATGAACACAGACTGAAGCTGTTTAATAAACGTCATGAACACAGACTGAAGCTGTTTAATAAACGTCATGAACACAGACTGAAGCTGTTTAATAAACGTCATGAACACAGACTGAAGCTGTTTAATAAACGTCATGAACACAGACTGAAGCTGTTTAATAAACGTCATGAACACAGACTGAAGCTGTTTAATAAACGTCATGAACACAGACTGAAGCTGTTTAATAAACATCATGAACACTGACTGAAGCTGTTTAATAAACGTCATGAACACAGACTGAAGCTGTTTAATAAACGTCATGAACACAGACTGAAGCTGTTTAATAAACATCATGAACACAGACTGAAGCTGTTTAATAAACGTCATGAACACAGACTGAAGCTGTTTAATAAACATCATGAACACAGACTGAAGCTGTTTAATAAACATCATGAACACAAACTGAAGCTGTTTAATAAACATCATGAACACAGACTGAAGCTGTTTAATAAACGTCATGAACACAGACTGAAGCTGTTTAATAAACGTCATGAACACAGACTGAAGAGACTCCCAGAGCAGTCCATTTGACGGGTTTTAGTTTCCACTAGTTTTATTAAATATTAATTCAAGTACACGGTTTGTAACTTCAAAAAGTGCTAACACTGGTGTAAATAACTGGTGTGAAGTAAACAGTGTGTTATACAGATGTTTACGGCTGAAATCTGGAACAGTCTTCCTGAAAATGTGAGACAGACTTCTTCTTTGACAAAGTTCAGGTTAAAAACTGTTTTTATCTTATTATGATTATTTATGATGTTATTGTCTTGTTTTGTTCAGCGCTTTGAGTCTTGTCTGGCTCTTCTCAGTTAAGAACCAGAACCAGAACCAGAACCAGAACCAGAACCAGTCCAGGAGCTTTCAGGATCCACAACAACAAATCAATCAAATCAATTCAATCAAATCAATTATCAAAATAATCGTTAATTAAGGTCAGATTTAGGGCTGTGTTAAAATAAAAGTAATCACACCTCCCCTTTAACATCTCTGACAGCGTCTTTGTGGAGAAGGTTCTTGGTTCAGGACCCAACACACCACTGCAAAAACCATATGTACATGAATAAGAATCAAAAACCAGAACTCGACTGAATGGACCGAGAACAGGAGGGACAGAGAGGAGGGGATTTAACTGTTTGGAACATGTGGAAGAGGTCCTGGGTCTACAGCCTCAGTCCTGGGTCTACAGTCTCAGTCCTGGGTCTACAGTCTCAGTCCTGGGTCTACAGCCTCAGTCCTGGGTCTACAGCCTCAGTCCTGGGTCTACAGCCTCAGTCCTGGGTCTACAGCCTCAGTCCTGGCTCTACAGCCTCAGTCCTGGGTCTACAGCCTCAGTCCTGGGTCTACAGCCTCAGTCCTGGGTCTACAGCCTCAGTCCTGGGTCTACAGCCTCAGTCCTGGGTCTACAGCCTCAGTCCTGGGTCTACAGCCTCAGTCCTGGGTCTACAGCCTCAGTCCTGGGTCTACAGCCTCAGTCCTGGGTCTACAGCCTCAGTCCTGGGTCTACAGCCTCAGTCCTGGGTCTACAGCCTCAGTCCTGGGTCTACAGCCTCAGTCCTGGGTCTACAGCCTCAGTCCTGGGTCTACAGACTCAGTCCTGGGTCTACAGCCTCAGTCCTGGGTCTACAGCCTCAGTCCTGGGTCTACAGCCTCAGTCCTGGGTCTACAGCCTCAGTCCTGGGTCTACAGCCTCAGTCCTGGGTCTACAGCCTCAGTCCTGGGTCTACAGACTCAGTCCTGGGTCTACAGACTCAGTCCTGGGTCTACAGCCTCAGTCCTGGGTCTACAGCCTCAGTCCTGGGTCTACAGACTCAGTCTTGGGTCTACAGACTCAGTCCTGGGTCTACAGACTCAGTCTTGGGTCTACAGCCTCAGTAAATGCAGCTCCGTCTTAAACCATATTGACAGTTCTGTATCTGGAATAAACAGTTCTGGGATCGAAACTAGAGCAGTGTTATTTCTGATTATAATATTCATCTGGAACCGAGCGACGGCGGCGACCGTTACTGCATCCATTTATGCAGACCAGAGAGAGACCAGAGAGAGACCAGAGAGAGACCAGAGAGAGACCAGAGAGAGACCAGAGAGAGACCAGAGAGACCAGAGAGAGACCAGAGAGAGACCAGAGAGAGACCAGAGAGAGACTAGAGAGGGACCAGAGAGAGAGACCAGAGAGAGACCAGAGAGAGAGACCAGAGAGAGACCAGAGAGAGAGACCAGAGAGAGACCAGAGAGAGAGACCAGAGAGAGACCAGAGAGAGAGACCAGAGAGAGACCAGAGAGAGACCAGAGAGAGAGACCAGAGAGAGACCAGAGAGAGAGACCAGAGAGAGACCAGAGAGAGAGACCAGAGAGAGACCAGAGAGAGACCAGAGAGAGACCAGAGAGAGACCAGAGAGAGAGACCAGAGAGAGACCAGAGAGAGAGACCAGAGAGAGACCAGAGAGAGAGACCAGAGAGAGACCAGAGAGAGAGACCAGAGAGAGACCAGAGAGAGACCAGAGAGAGAGACCAGAGAGAGACCAGAGAGAGACCAGAGAGAGAGACCAGAGAGAGAAAATCAATGAGTGTTTTTCTGATGTTGTTTCTGTGAGCACTGGTTCTCCTCAGGGATGTATTTTGAGTCCTCTGCTTTTTACTTTGTACACTCACGATTGTGTGTCTTCCTCTGACTCTAACTTGATCATCAAATATGCTGATGACACCACCATCATCGGTCTCATCAGTGACACTGATGAATCCTCTTATAGAGCAGAGATACAAAATGTGGTTCAGTGGAGTCAAACTAACAACCTCCAGTTGAACGCATCCAAAACATGTGAACTGGTCACGACTTCAGTCGCAATAGTTCTCATTTGTCTGTCGTAATCGACAACTCCCAGGTGCAGATCGTAGAGGAGTGCAAGTTTCTGGGTTTAACTCTGTCTAACCTGAAATGGGTTAAAAACACTGACCGAGTCGTTAAGAAAGCTCGTCAGCGTCTCTACTTTCTGCGTAAACTTAGAGAATTTACCACTAACTCTAAGATTGTGTTTAACTTTTATGGCTGCACCATTGAGAGTTTACTTGTTGGTTCTGTGTCTGTGTGGTTTGGAAACATCACAGATAAAGAAAAGAGAGCTTTAAACAAGGTGCTCCGCTCTGCAAAGAGGACCGTGGGCTGTGAGACCAGAGAGAGACCAGAGAGAGACCAGAGAGAGACCAGAGAGAGACCAGAGAGAGACCAGTGAGAGACCAGAGAGAGACCAGAGAGAGACCAGAGGGAGACCAGAGAGAGACCAGAGAGAGACCAGAGAGAGACCAGTGAGAGACCAGAGAGAGACCAGAGAGAGACCAGAGGGAGCCATGTTCCAGCTTCTTCCCTCTGGCAGAAGATATCGGTCACTGAGATGCAAGACATCTCGCTATGCTAACAGCTTCTTTCCACAGGCTGTTAGGTGCCTAAACAGAGCACTTTAATTCCTGCTTTTACCCCTTGTATCCAGGCCCGTCCCAAGGGGGGTGCGAGGCCCTGTGCGAACTCGAAACGCGAGGCCCTGCCCTGACACTTTTTTCCCAGATCTGAGGAAAGTTTTTCCTGTTATAATCTTTGACATGAATTCAGCACCACCTCGCGCGGTGCTTGACGAGATCAGCACGCGTGTAACCGAGTGTCTTCGCTCCTATGCAGCGTTTGGCGCGCGCACGTACACACGCACACACACTCTACGTGCAATATTGGTCGCGGTCTTTTTAGCTGACATGTCTCTTTCGTCCTGTGGCAAAATGGCAGAGCAACTCAAAAGATTGAACCAAAAGGAGTCTTTTTCTTCTAATAGTTAGATTTGGGCAAAATGCGCCAAAATGGCTATGAGGCGGAGTCAATATTATTATTTTCTCATCAAATAACGTTTTTGCCATGCCTCCACACACTCTGACAACATACACTCCTCCTCCTCCACACTGACAACAACAAAATACTCTTCACCTCCTCCTCCACACACTCTGACCACAACAAAAACACTCCAGCTAGCTAAAGCTAGACATACAGTGTGTTTGCTAATGCTTTTAAAAATATGTTTTTGATGTGGATATTCGGACTAAACATTGGCAATAGCAGCGCTCACACACCTGTCACACCGCTGATCCTCCTCCTCCTCCTCTGCTCACACAAAGGGGTCTGCTCCTCTGCTCACACCTGTATCACTGCTCCTCCTCCTCCTCTCCTCCTCCTCCTCCTCTGCTCACACAAAGGGGTCTGCTCCTCTGCTCACACCTGTCTCACTGCTCCTCCTCCTCCTCCTCCTCCTCCTCCTCCTCCTCTGCTCACACAAAGGGGTCTGCTCCTCTGCTCACACCTGTCTCACTGCTCCTCCTCCGCGAGTATCCATCTCTCCTACACTGCGATCATTCCCGTTACTTTCTTTGTATCTCACTCAGACACTGCTAAAGTTATCTGACAGTTTTTTCGGAGGACCCGTTGCATACATAGCTGCCCGCGCGCCTGCCTGTTTACAAATCGCTTTTGGTGAAAATTTGACTTTACTTGTAAAAATGTTCTTTTGATCAAACGAAATCAAAGAGGTCCAGAGAAAGGGGTTTAGGGTTCCAAATTTGGAGTGCAGTCTGCCCTTTGGGGACCCTTGAACTAGTGTATTTATAAAATAAAATAAAAGGAAGGAAGATTGCGAGGCCCCTGTGTGGTGCGAGGCCCTGTGCGACGGCACAGGTCGCACAGCCCTTAGGACGGGCCTGCTTGTATCGTTTTGTTGATCGGTGCCACAGTGTCAGCTGTTTTTTTTATTATTTTATTTTCAGTGTATGTGTATTTTATATTACATTGTATCGTGCTTTTTATTCTGTCGGTGCACACAGAGAACCTTTTTTTGCAAATGTATTCCAATGTAGTTTTTATACTGCACATGGCTAATAAAATGAATCTGAATCTGAATCTGAGACCAGAGAGAGAGACCAGAGAGAGACCAGAGAGAGACCAGAGAGAGACCAGAGAGAGACCAGAGAGACCAGAGAGAGACCAGAGAGAGACCAGAGAGAGACCAGAGAGAGACCAGAGAGACCAGAGAGAGACCAGAGAGAGACCAGAGAGACCAGAGAGAGACCAGAGAGAGACCAGAGAGAGACCAGAGAGACCAGAGAGAGACCAGAGAGAGACCAGAGAGACCAGAGAGAGACCAGAGAGAGACCAGAGAGAAAGACCAGACAGAGACCAGAGAGAGAGAGACCAGAGAGAGAGACCAGAGAGAGAGACCAGAGAGAGACCAGAGCGAGACCAGAGAGAGACCAGAGAGAGACCAGAGAGAGACCAGAGAGAGACCAGACAGAGACCAGAGAGAGAGAGACCAGAGCGAGACCAGAGCGAGACCAGAGCGAGACCAGAGAGAGACCAGAGAGAGACCAGAGAGAGACCAGAGAGAGACCAGAGAGAGAGGCCAGAGAGAGACCAGAGAGAGACCAGAGAGAGACTAGAGAGAGACCATAGAGAGAGACCAAACCACTTTACTCTGAAATATGAACACTCCATTTTTTGAACCCTCAGGAAAAGACAATAGAGAATGTTCCAGTGATACTTTGAGAAAGTAAATAAGTAAAAACATCAGTAGAGAATTTAGAAGAGGTTTATTTTTACGTTATGTTTACAAACATTTGAACCAAAGCAACACGTTGCAACAGAAACTCGCCAAAAAACAGAGACAGAGCCAAAATGGCCGCCGCTTCTTCATCGTCCAAACCCACATTTAGAATCATCACAGTTTGAAAAAGACATCGACCGTCTCCAAGAGCTTAGTCCCAAAACACATCAGGAAGAATGGGCAAAAACCACTCTCAGATTCTCCAGACATCGTTCAAACTCAGGCCCGCGGGCTGAATCCGGCCCAAGCATTAATCTGTTGTGGCCCAAACGTGTCCCATGGTTTTCTATTGTTATTATTGTGGTTATTATTTTATCTTCTTTTATCTGTTTAGACACGACATCATCCTCTGTTTTTATCTCTGTATTTAACTGTTTTTATCTCTGCATTTAACTGTTTTTATCTCTGCATTTAACTATTTTTATCTCTGTATTTAACTGTTTTTATCTCTGCATTTAACTGTTTTTATCTCTGTATTTAACTGTTTTTATCTCTGTATTTAACTGTTTTTATCTCTGCATTTAACTGTTTTTATCTCTGCATTTAACTGTTTTTATCTCTGCATTTAACTGTTTTTATCTCTGTATTTAACTGTTTTTATCTCTGTATTTAACTGTTTTTATCTCTGTATTTAACTGTTTTTATCTCTGCATTTAACTGTTTTTATCTCTGTATTTAACTGTTTTTATCTCTGTATTTAACTGTTTTTATCTCTGCATTTAACTGTTTTTATCTCTGCATTTAACTGTTTTTATCTCTGCATTTAACTGTTTTTATCTCTGCATTTAACTGTTTTTATCTCTGCATTTAACTGTTTTTATCTCTGTATTTATCTCTGTATTTAACTGTTTTTATCTCTGTATTTAACAGTTTTTATCTCTGTATTTAACTGTTTTTATCTCTGCATTTAACTGTTTTTATCTCTGTATTTAACTGTTTTTATCTCTGTATTTAACTGTTTTTATCTCTGTATTTAACTGTTTTTATCTCTGTATTTAACTGTTTTTATCTCTGCATTTAACTGTTTTTATGTCTGTATTTAACTGTTTTTATCTCTGTATTTAACTGTTTTTATCTCTGCATTTAACTGTTTTTATCTCTGCATTTAACTGTTTTTATCTCTGCATTTAACTGTTTTTATCTCTGCATTTAACTGTTTTTATCTCTGCATTTAACTGTTTTTATCTCTGTATTTATCTCTGTATTTAACTGTTTTTATCTCTGTATTTAACAGTTTTTATCTCTGTATTTAACAGTTTTTATCTCTGTATTTAACTGTTTTTATCTCTGCATTTAACTGTTTTTATCTCTGTATTTAACTGTTTTTATCTCTGTATTTAACTGTTTTTATCTCTGTATTTAACTGTTTTTATCTCTGCATTTAACTGTTTTTATCTCTGTATTTAACAGTTTTTATCTCTGTATTTAACAGTTTTTATCTCTGTATTTAACTGTTTTTATCTCTGCATTTAACTGTTTTTATCTCTGCATTTAACTGTTTTTATCTCTGTATTTAACTGTTTTTATCTCTGTATTTAACTGTTTTTATCTCTGTATTAACTGTTTTTAAATGTACTTTTCACCTTGAGTGTCTACAAAGGCGCCTAATAAAGAAAATGTATTATTATTATTATTTTGAATGAATCAGACGTTAAACAGTCGAGACAGAACAGAACAGAAGTTTTAATAACGTCGACAAAACATTTCATAGATTTGATTCTGGTTTTAACGTCTGGTCCCATTTGTTTTTGTTTGTAGAAAAGTGTTATTCTGGTTCAGATCTGGATTAAAATCACATTAATGTTGTAAATATCAGATCATTTATAACCGTTTATGGACCATGTGTTTGTTATCGTTCTTCTGCTGGGACTGATTTTCTGATCTGCTTTTAGAGAATCAAAAACTGAGTAAAACCCTCCTGATAAACTACTGTTGTGGTTTAGAACGATACAAACATTGAATTAATCTGAATTATAAATCCAGAGAGTGGTTTTTGACGTGAAACCCTGAACGCAGCTCTTTGAACGCCTCGCCTCGCCCTCGGTCTCGTTCCGGTCTCTCAGAAAGACGAGACGATTGTGAATAAAAACAAACATTTAAAAATGGCGGGATCCTTTGGTCCACGACTTGTTTGTATAAAAATATTATTATAAAATGCCTTTGAACGTCATGGAAGTAAAAACATGAGACGAGACGGACCCGAAACACCACACGACAAAAGAACCAGACACGGGAAAGAAAAAGGAAAGTCCAGCATCGGATTCAGACGGAACCGAGACTAGTCTGAGATTTTAGTTTAAAACGGCTGCACCTGAGACCAGAGAGAGACCAGAGTGAGACCAGAGAGAGACCAGAGTGAGACCAGAGTGAGACCAGAGAGAGACCAGAGTGAGACCAGAGTGAGACCAGTGAGAGACCAGAGAGAGACCAGAGAGACCAGAGAGAGACCAGAGAGAGACCAGAGAGAGACCAGAGAGAGACCAGAGAGAGACCAGAGAGAGACCAGAGTGAGACCAGAGAGAGACCAGAGAGACACCAGAGAGACCAGAGAGAGACCAGAGAGAGACCAGAGAAAGACCAGTGAGAGACCAGAGTGAGACCAGAGAGAGACCAGTGAGAGACCAGAGAGAGACCAGAGTGAGACCAGAGTGAGACCAGTGAGAGACCAGAGAGAGACCAGAGAGACCAGAGAGAGACCAGAGAGAGACCAGTGAGAGACCAGAGAGAGACCAGAGAGACCAGAGAGAGACCAGAGAGAGACCAGAGAGAGACCAGAGAAAGACCAGTGAGAGACCAGAGTGAGACCAGAGAGAGACCAGAGTGAGACCAGAGAGAGACCAGAGTGAGACCAGAGTGAGACCAGTGAGAGACCAGAGAGAGACCAGAGAGACCAGAGAGAGACCAGAGAGAGACCAGTGAGAGACCAGAGAGAGACCAGAGAGACCAGAGAGAGACCAGAGAGAGACCAGAGAGAGACCAGAGAGAGACCAGAGTGAGACCAGAGAGAGACCAGAGAGACACCAGAGAGACCAGAGAGAGACCAGAGAGAGACCAGAGAAAGACCAGTGAGAGACCAGAGTGAGACCAGAGAGAGACCAGTGAGAGACCAGAGAGAGACCAGTGAGAGACCAGAGAGAGACCAGAGAGAGACCAGTGAGAGACCAGAGAGAGACCAGAGAGAGACCAGAGAAAGACCAGTGAGAGACCAGAGAGAGACCAGAGAGAGAGAGACCAGAGAGAGACCAGGGAGAGACCAGAGAGAGAGACCAGAGAGAGACCAGAGAGACCAGAGAGAGAGAGACCAGAGAGAGACCAGAGAGAGACCAGAGAGAGACCAGAGAGAGACCAGAGAAAGACCAGTGAGAGACCAGAGAGAGACCAGAGAGAGACCAGAGAGAGAGACCAGAGAGAGACCAGAGAGAGACCAGAGAGAGACCAGAGAGAGAGACCAGAGAGATACCAGAGAGAGAGACCAGAGAGAGACCAGGGAGAGACCAGAGAGAGAGACCAGAGAGAGACCAGAGAGACCAGAGAGAGAGAGACCAGAGAGAGACCAGAGAGAGACCAGAGAGAGACCAGAGAGAGACCAGAGAGAGACTAGAGAGAGACCAGAGAGAGAGGGACCCCACTGTTTGGTTTTGGAGGTTCTTCATGAATCTAAAATCCATGTTCCAGCTTCTTCCCTCTGCCAGAAGATATCGTTGGCTAAGATGCAGGACATGCTAACATGCTAAAATGCTAACAGCTTCTCTCAGCTGTTCTCAGTCTGTTTTTGTTGATTGTTTCACAGCAATGATTCTTTAAGTCTGTTTTATGACTTGTCTGGATACTGTTTGATTCTCTGATCTGCTGAAGTGAGTTACATTCAATAAACAAACGTTTGTGGTGTTTTCTTTTCTTTGCATTTTCATCGATTCAAGCTAAATGGGTTTTTCTCTGATTGTCTTTGAAAGCCTCATGATTCCTTCTGATCTGATCTTTGTGCGTTCTGTCCTGAGGGAGCAGTTGTGCGTCTAATATCTGCAGTGAATAAATGGGACGCCATCTTTGTAGTCCAAACACACAGTGGGACTCTGAGGAAACTACAACTTTAGAGAAGTTCTAGATGCGGGAATTTTGTTGTAGTTTGTGTGTGTGTGTGAGTGAGTGTATGTGTGTGTGCATGTGTGTGTGCGTATAGATGTTTTTATGTCTGTGTGTGTGTGTGTGTATGTGTGTGTGTGAGTACAGTATGTGCATGTGTGCGTATGCGTGTGTGTGTGTCTGTGTGTGTATGTTTGAATGCGTGTGTGTGTATGTGTGTGTGTGAGTACAGTATGTGCATGTGTGCGTGTCTGTGTATGTATGTTTGAATGCGTGTGTGTGTGTCTGTGTGTGTATGTATGAATGCGTGTGTGTGTTGGTATGCGTGTATGTGTGTGTGTCTGCATGTGTGCGTATGTGTGTGTGTGTTTCCCTCCCATATCCCCTGTTTCTGCCTCTCTGGCCTGTGATTGGTGGCCCTCTTCCTGGGAGTCTGCAGTTCCGGCCCCTGATTGGAGGAGCGGCTCTACACCTGACCAATCCTGCGCCTCCCTCTCTCTGAAGCCCTCACTCTGCATCTGTTTGTGTCAATCATATTTTGTATTTATTAATTCTCTGTCTCTGAGGTTCATTCTTTGGTCTTTCTCCTTTTATTTGTCACTTTGGGTTTTGTTTTTGAGACAGTTCACTTGACGGTTTGTGTGTAGACCACGATTGTTTTGACTTTTGTGTATTTGTATTTAACACATTTGGTTCAGTCCACTTATCGTTTACTTCTGTTATTAAATTACTGCTTTTACCATTTAACATCTTGCTTTCTCTTGTTACCTCCTCTTACTTTACCGATTTGCACTACTTCATGCATCCAGCAGGGGGAGCCACTAACAGCATCTCACCAACACGTTCTGGCTTCAGTCAAAGTCAGGTACAGCCCCTTTAAACCTGTTTCTATTTGACGAGGAGTTCAGTAGTTTTGCTGAAAAACAATCGGACGAATAATACTTAATATTTATCAAAACACCGATGGATTGAACTTTGACTGATGATACAAGTTCAGCCGTCGCTCACTCACATCGGCACAAAAGAAGTGGGAGAAGTGCCTTGCTCAGTGACACAATGGCTGGGTCCAAACGTCCACATTATTCCCTCCTCTTCTGTATCTATGACAGAAATATGGTCTGGTCTCTCTCTGGTCTCTCTCTGGTCTCTCTCTAGTCTCTCTGGTCTCTCTCTGGTCTCTCTCTGGTCTCTCTCTGGTCTCTCTCTGGTCTCTCTCTGGTCTCTCTCTGGTCTCTCTCTAGTCCCTCTCTGGTCTCTCTCTGGTCTCTCTCTAGTCCCTCTCTGGTCTCTCTCTGGTCTCTCTCTGGTCTCTCTCTGGTCTCTCTCCATTATATTCCAACGTGTATGGATCCATCCCAATGCTAACAGCATTGACTATGGAAGCTAGCTGGATATGCCTATTCTCACCTAGGATTAGAAACTACACATTACTAAGCAAAGGTAAGAGCTGTACATGTTAAAGCTGGGGTACCTAACTTCTCTCTCACAGATGATACAGCAGAAAGACTGAAAAAAGTTAATTGTGAAAAAATCAGGCCACAACATGCTGTCTTCTTCTATTAAACAAAAGGAATATTTTGCATATATTTTGCTGTTTTTTGTAAGAATGATCCCAGGGAGTCACTATTTGACTCTTTGGGCTGACAGCTGATTGGCTGAGTGAGTTGTGTTCTTCTGATTTTCACTTTTACTCTGAAAAATCAGCTCAGTAGCAATAGATCTGAGCTGTTTTGAGGTCGAGATGCTGGAGATTTGATTCCAGTTAAAGTTAGGTACCTCAGCTTTAGTTTGTGAACCATGTGGACGTCTGGACACAGCCAACGACAGAGCAAGTCTATCCTGGGTCGAGCCGTTCCGAATCATGCTAGATTTTCCTTTCCCGCAGCGTGGAAACAAAGCGTTTACAGACAGTTGCTACAGCTCCGTAAAAGTAAAAAAAAACGTTGTCTTTGCCGCTTTTTTTCAATTTTTTTCTCTTTGTCGTAAACGCACACCTTCCAAGACGGCGTGTTCGAAAGCGTTGGCACTCCGGTCTCACTCTGGTCTCACTCTGGTCTCACTCTGGTCTCACTCTGATCCTCAACAAAGTGATAACGATATGAGACGATTCCTAAAGTCCTGGTTCTTCGAGCTGCCCTAAAACTCTGCCGTTGAAATGAATCCAGAGAAAAATCTTTGAAAAAATCCAAGTTTTTAGTTTTTTTACTGCGTGGATCTGTCCCGGAGGTTTTTTTTTCCGTATTTACACTTTTGCGACAGAAGCAGAGAGATAAGGCTTCCGGAAGCTCCCGTCCGTCCGGGATATTGCTACTCACTACGGTGGAACGAGGGGTGGGTCTTGTTCCGGGTTCTGAAAAAACAAACCGGTTTCATGCAGTGTGCAAACTGACCCACCTCCAAGTCCAAAGTCTGACGTTTGGATCTGACACAAAACATGTTCTTTCAGAGTCTGGTGTGGCACATGGAGCATCTTCATCATCTTCATCATCATCATCGGTCACTGGTGCTCCCCCACATGGTGTCGCACACAATTTAACACACACTGCAAAAACGTGATGAGAAATAAGTAAAACATTTGCTAAAATTCGGCAAAAAGTGTCTTAATTTTAGCACATTCTGACTCAGTCTAAAAAACAGATTCTTCACTGGAACAAAACAAAACCATTGTGTTTTAAAAAGATACAGAAATGTCTCTCTTGGAATGAGGAAATAAAGCAACAGTTCTTGAAATCAGACTTAAAGTCTTTCCCTCTGGTCTCTCTCTCTCTGGTCTCTCTCTCTAGTCTCTCTCTCTGGTTTCTCTCTCTAGTCTCTCTCTGGTCTCTCTCTGGTCTCTCTCTAGTCTCTCTCTAGTCTCTCTCTGGTCTCTCTCTCTGCTCTCTCTCTGGTCTCTCTCTGGTCTCTCTCTGGTCTCTCTCTAGTCTCTCTCTAGTCTCTCTCTGGTCTCTCTCTCTGCTCTCTCTCTGGTCTCTCTCTGGTCTCTCTCTGGTCTCTCTCTAGTCTCTCTCTCTGGTCTCTCTCTGGTCTCTCTCTGGTCTCTCTCTAGTCTCACTCTGGTCTCTCTCTGGTCTCTCTCTCTGGTCTCTCTCTGGTCTCTCTCTGTTCTCTCTCTCTGGTCTCTCTCTGGTCTCTCTCTGGTCTCTCTCTAGTCTCTCTCTGGTCTCTCTCTCTAGTCTCTCTCTGGTCTCTCTCTGGTCTCTCTCTCTGGTCTCTCTCTGGTCTCTCTCTAGTCTCTCTCTGGTCTCTCTCTGGTCTCACTCTGGTCTCACTCTGGTCTCTCTCTAGTCTCTCTCTGGTCTCTCTCTGGTCTCTCTCTCTGGTCTCTCTCTCTGGTCTCTCTCTGGTCTCTCTCTGGTCTCTCTCTGGTCTCTCTCTAGTCTCTCTCTAGTCTCTCTCTGGTCTCTCTCTGCTCTCTCTCTGGTCTCTCTCTGGTCTCTCTCTAGTCTCTCTCTAGTCTCTCTGGTCTCTCTCTCTCTGGTCTCTCTCTGGTCTGGTCTCTCTCTGGTCTCTCTCTAGTCTCTCTCTGGTCTCTCTCTCTGCTCTCTCTCTGGTCTCTCTCTAGTCTCTCTCTGGTCTCTCTCTCTGGTCTCTCTCTGGTCTCTCTCTGGTCTCTCTCTAGTCTCACTCTGGTCTCTCTCTGGTCTCTCTCTCTGGTCTCCTCTCTCTCTCTGGTCTCTCTCTCTGGTCTCTCTCTCTGTTCTCTCTGTCTCTCTCTGGTCTCTCTCTCTGGTCTCTCTCTGGTCTCTCTCTAGTCTCTCTCTAGTCTCTCTCTGGTCTCTCTCTCTGGTCTCTCTCTGGTCTCTCTCTGGTCTCTCTCTAGTCTCTCTCTAGTCTCTCTCTGGTCTCTCTCTCTGGTCTCTCTCTGGTCTCTCTCTGGTCTCTCTCTAGTCTCTCTCTCTGGTCTCTCTCTCTGGTCTCTCTCTGGTCTCTCTCTCTGGTCTCTTTCTCTAGGGTCTCTCTCTCTGGTCTCTCTCTCTGGTCTCTCTCTCTCTGTCTCTCTCTCTGGTCTCTCTCTCTGGTCTCTCTCTCTGGTCTCTCTCTCTGGTCTCTCTCTCTGGTCTCTCTCTGGTCTCTCTCTGGTCTCTCTCTGGTCTCTCTCTGGTCTCTCTCTCTGGTCTCTCTCTGGTCTCTCTCTCTGGTCTCTCTCTCTGGTCTCTCTCTCTGGTCTCTCTCTCTGGTCTCTCTCTGGTCTCTCTCTGGTCTCTCTTCGTCCTCTGTCCTCACCCCTCTGTCCTCCCCCTCTGTCCTCACCCCTCTGTCCTCCCCCTCTGTCCTCACCCCTCTGTCCTCACCCCTCTGTCCTCCCCCTCTGTCCTCCCCCTCTGTCCTCCCCCTCTGTCCTCCCCCCTCTGTCCTCCCCCCTCTGTCCTCGGTCCCCCCCTCTGTCCTCCCCCTCTGTCCTCCCCCCTCTGTCCTCCCCCTCTGTCCTCCCCCCTCTGTCCTCCCCCTCTGTCCTCCCCCCTCTGTCCTCCCCCTCTGTCCTCACCCCTCTGTCCTCCCCCTCTGTCCTCAGTCCCCCCTCTGTCCTCACCCCTCTGTCCTCCCCCTCTGTCCTCCCCCCCTCTGTCCTCCCCCCTCTGTCCTCCCCTTCTGTCCTCCCCCCTCTGTCCTCCCCCCTCTGTCCTCCCCCCTCTGTCCTCACCCCCTCTGTCCTCCCCCCCCTCTGTCCTCCCCCTCTGTCCTTCCCCCCTCTGTCCTCTCTCCCCCCCTCTGTCCTCCCCCCCCTCTGTGTCCTCCCCCCTCTGTCCTCCCCCTCTGTCCTCACTGTCTCCCACCCTGTCCTCACCCCTCTGTCCTCAGTCTCTGTCCTCACCCCCTCTGTCCTCAGTCTCTGTCCTCACCCCTCTGTCCTCCCCCCTCTGTCCTCACCCCTCTGTCCTCACCCCTCCTGTCCCCTCTGTCCTCACCCCTCTGTCCTCCCCCTCTGTCCTCACCCCTCTGTCCTCACCCCTCTGTCCTCACCCC